GGGGACGGGGCGCGCACCGGCCTGGGCTTTCCCCGCGCCGGGAGGCCGATCGGACGCGCTGGGGACTGCGGCGACCCCCGGGGACGCTCCGCGCGAGCGGTGACCCCGCAGCGGCGGCGTGGGGCCGTGGCCGGTGCCGGGCTGCGTAATTTACGCGCGCGCCCCTGACCCGAGTTCGGGTGCCCGCTCTCTCCGCGGAGGTGCGGGCGGATCCTGCTCTCCTCCCGGGGGCGGGGCGGCCTGGCGGGCGTCGGTTCCCGGTCTTGGGTTTGGGGGTGCCAGGAACGAGTGATGAGGTCTTCTCTCTGCCGGTGGGGACTTTAGACCCGAGACAGATGGGGCGTGCTTGCAGTTCTTTGGGGACAACTCATCCTGAATTTGAGGGGGGCTGCGGCTTTTCCCACTCGGTGTGGGGGCCGCCAGGGACATCTCCTGCTACCACGAAGGGCCCCTTGCCGGGTAACAGGTTCTGTCCCAGCTACCTGGAGGAAATGGTTTCCAGTGGGAAAGGTTGGAAGAGATGTGATGTGTATCTCGCGGGGCGCCTTCGCTTGGGGGTGCAGGTGGGTCAGGGAGCAGCTTGGTGTCTGTAAACTGTCTCGGGGACCGAGGGCGGTCAGAGGACGCCTGGGCGGTTCTTGGACCATCTCCGGAGAGGAGAGGCTGTTGGCCAAGGGACAGGGCCTGTTTCCCTGCCTTCCTCTGGACGCCTGGGAGGGAAATGGCTGGGATAGAGTGGCCCCACTAAGCTGGGGACCCAACTGCGGTTATTGCGCCAAGATGAACCATTCCCGGTGATGAGCTCTAAAGTGCCTGCTGACTTCTTTCTGTCTACCATTTGTGAAGGGTGTGGAGGAGAAAGTGTGGGGTGGTGATGCTCTCCAAGCTGAGGCCAAGAAATGTGGTGTCAAAGTGAAGCAAGGTTAGGGCAATTAGGGAAACACAGCAGATCCTCCCTAATTTTTTTTTTTTCTTTGTTTTTAAATAATTCCTTAGACTCAGAAGCAGCTTCTGCTACTAATACTGAAATACTAACACTGAAATCTTGAGGGCACTGGCTCCCATAAATTAAGATAACTCATTTTATAAACACCCTATCTAAAGGGGTTCCCATTCATTCCACTGTCAGAGTTTCAGTTGAAATTTACAAATACGCATTTTGAAAATGAATTAACACATAGTTGAAGTCTTTGCAGAACTCTGCGTCTTTGAGTGCAGTTTCCTTTTCTACTCCTCCACTTCCTTTGGGTTTTTGAGGTTACCTGGGGGGTGGGGGAGGGTCAACAGAGATAGGGCACAGATCAGAAGTCATGATCAGCAGCAGAATGGAAATCTGGGTGTGTATTTCGCCCCCACTTGTTCAGCAGGATGGGATTAGGAGGGGAGAAAACACAAGGTTTCTGAGTGATTTTGGGAGTGGAGGGCAGAGAGACACAGACAGGACTTACTGAAAATAAAGGGGAACTGGCCATGGTGAATCACACCTACTACCCTTTGAGAGGCTGAGGCAGGAGTGCTGTGAGGTGGCATCTAGCCAGGGGTACATGGTGATTTCCAGGCCAGTCAAGGCTACAAAACAAAACCCTGTCTGAAAAAGCAAACCAAAGGTGGCTAAAGATGTGATTCAGTGGTAGAGCCTTGCCTGGCATGCATGAGGCCCTGGGTTCGAGCCCCAGTACTAGGAGTTGGGGGGGGCGACGACAAAGAATGATTGGAAAAAAGTTTTAATGGAGAAAGGTGTGAAATATTTGGACTTTTTTTAAACTTGGTAGATTTATGAGGAAGAACGCATTAGTGGGCGGTATTATATATGCAGGTGTAGGGCAGTGAAGAGGTTGGGGGGAGTGTGTGTTCTGCTTTGTTTTTAAGGCATGCCGAGGGCAGACCTTTGCCTTTGAGTAGCTTATAGCTTAATAGAATAGAGGAAGAGAGGTTGCACGTTATTAAACTACTAAGAAAAATGCAAAATGGAAGGAAAGGGGAAATGTCTGCCTTCAGTTGCCCTATTTTATTAGCAGTTTTCCAAATTAAAAGAGCAGGAAGAAAACACAGGGGAGAGAAGGAGATCCGGGCTAAAGAAGCAAGCTCGTGCCTAGTGGTCAGAGGCTTGGAGAGGAGCAGTGTGCCGGGCAGCCAGACCCAGGTCCTGATTGAGGGTTTTCCTTACATGGTGGCTTTGGGGCTGCACTCTCGGGTAATGAGATAATGAAAGACTAAAGCCTCACTTGGCAGAATGATGCTTCTAGATGGTTTGGGTGGCCTTGAGTGATCCGTGACAGGTGGCTGCTGTCTCAGGGACCTTCACAAATATTAACAGATTTTACAGTTTTAGGACTTTAGTGAAACATCCATCCAGGCCTTTAGAAACTCCACATTTTGAACTCTCATTCTACTTTAAAGACCCACTCTTAAGCCACATCCTGCTTTGTAAAGGACGTGAAACCTTTCTCTTTTATAAACTCCTTTATTGCAGTAAGAGTTCACTCTCAATCTTTGAAAACCTGAAAAATGTCAGGATGTTATACAACTACGAAAACGAACACAAAACCCATAGTTTATAACTTTATAGGATTAATATATAGTTACATTAGCCCTTCTATTTTTGTTATCAAGAGAGCGTAACAAAGCCAGGCCTGGCAGTGCAGGCCTGTAATCCCAGCTACTGGGAAGACTGAGACAGGAGGATCGAAAGTTCAAGGCCAGCCTGGGCAACTCAATGAGCCTTTGTCTCAGAAGAGAAAAAATACAAAAAGGTTATGGGGCCGAGCGTGGTGGTGCACACCTTTAATCCCAGCACTCAGAAGGCAGAGGCAGGTGGATCTCTGTGAATTCGAGGTCAGTCTGGTCTACATAGTGAGTTCTGGGCCAGCTGGGGCTACCGGGAGACCTTGTCTCAAAAAGTCCAAAAAAATTAAAAAAAAATCTAGCTGTAATTAGGTTATAATAAAATTATTCCTGTAACTCTGTAATATTACCTTTTAATCAATCTTTTGTTGTTGTTGAGACAGGGTCTCTTTATGTAGCTCTGGTTGACACGGAACTCACTGTGTAGACCAGGCTGGTCTGGAACTCAGAGATCTGCCTGTCTCTGTGTACTGAGTACTGGGATTAAAGGCATGCACCACCACTCTCAGCGTTTTAATCAGGTTTAAGAGTTTTATTGAACTACTGAGTGCGTAACACCTGACTCTATTGTAAGCCATGTTGTATAAGTTGAAGGATAGCTGCTTGTTTTTCTGAAAGCATGTGGTAGGGCTTTTACCTTCAACCTAAAACATCAAAGCCTCAAGGGATGCTTATGTTTCTATGAAAGTCCCATTGAAACAGCTGGGGTATAGCTCATTGGGAGCCTCCTGCCTAGTATGTGTGAGACCCCGAGCTAATTTTTTGAAATCACACCTAAGTGTTCTTCATGTCCATGTGCACCTGGTGTGTGCATGCATGTGGAAACCAGAGGTCAACTTCAGGTATTGTTCTTTAAGAGCTATCCACTTTGTTTCTTTGAGACAAGGTCTGTCGGTGGGACCAGGGACTCACTAAGTAGGCTAGGCTGGCCAGCAAGCCCCAAGTATCCACCTGTCCTCCCCAGTGTTGGGATTACAGGCATCTATTACCATCCCAGATTATATTTTTTAAATATTTATTTATCTTTATTTTATGTATATGAGCATTTGCCTGCATGTATATTTGTGCACCATGTCTGTGCAGTGCCCTCAGAGGCCAGAAGAGGGCGTTATCAGATCTGGAACTGGAGTTATAGGTGGTTTCGAACACCCTGTGGGTGCTGGAAACCGAAGTTAGGTCCTCTGGAAGAGCAGCAAGCATTCTGAGTTGCTGAGCTATCTCTTATTTATTTTATTATTTATTTATTTGTTTGTTTGTTGTTTTTTGGTCTTTTTGAGACAGGGTCTCCCTGTAGCCCCAGCTGTCCTGAAACTCACCATGTAGACCAGGCTGGCCTTGAACTCACAGAGATCTGCCTGCCTCTGCCTCCCGAGTGCTGGGATTAAAGGCGTGTGCCACCACGCCCAGCTTATTTTTAATTTTTATGTGTATGAGTGTATTACCTGGATGTGTGTGAGTGCACCCGTGTTGTGTGGTACCCTTAGAGGTCAGAAGAGGGTGTCAGATTCCCCTGGAACTGGAGTTATGGATGGTTGTTAGCCACCATATGGATGCTAGGAATTGAACCCAGGTCCTCTGCAAGAGCAGCCAACGCTCTTAACCGCTGAGTCATCTCTTTAGCCCCAACAAATGGGTGGGTTTTATTTTTTTATTTTTTTATTTTATGTGTATGGGTGTATTACTGGCATGTATGTAAATGCACCTGTGTCATGCAATGCCCGTGAAGGACAGAAGAGGCCATCTGATCCCCTGGAACTGGAGTTATGGACAGTTGTTAGCTGCCATGTGGGTGCTGGGATTCAAACCCAGGTCCTCTGCAAGAACAGCCAGTGTTCTTAACCGCTGAGCCATCTCTCCAGCCTCAAGGGTGTTTTTTTTTGTTTTTTGCCTTTTTTGAGACAGAGTCTCCCTGTAGCCCCAGCTGTCCTGGAACTCACTATGTAGACCAGGCTGGCCTTGAGCTCACAAAGATCCACCTGCCTCTGCCTCCCAAGTGCTGGGATTAAAGGTGTGCGCCACCATGCCCGGCTCAAGGGTGCTTTTTTATGTGGGTCCTGGGGATCAAACTCAGGTCTTCATGCTTGCATGGCCAAGCCATTTCCCCAGCCCCAGCTCGTTGAACTGGAGAAATGGTGGGACTGTGTCACACTGGGGTGGTTCTGTTTCCCTCCTTTCTGGAAGGAGCGGCAGGCTGTAGAGTGTCGCCTCAGCCTTTTCT